TCCTTACTTCACAGTTGTGGCCATTCACAGTATGGTATTTCTGAATGACAATCTTATCCACAGAATCATGGTCATCAAAGGTTACAAAAGCAAAGCCCCTCTTCTTGCCACTGCCTCTGTCAGTCATGATTTCAATCACTTCGATTTTCCCATACTGTTCAAAATAGTCTCTTAGATGATGTTCTTCAGTATCCTCTTTAATGCCACCAACAAAGATCTTTTTCACAGTTAAGTGGGCACCTGGTCTTTGAGAATCTTCTCTGGAGACAGCTCTCTTTGGTTCCACAACTCTTCCATCCACCTTGTGTGGCCGTGCATTCATTGCTGCATCCACCTCCTCCACTGTGGCATATGTGACAAACCCAAAGCCCCTGGAGCGTTTGGTGTTTGGATCTCTCATTACCACACAGTCCGTGAGCATTCCCCATTGCTCAAAATGGCTCCTCAGACTCTCATCGGTCGTTTCAAAGCTCAGCCTTCCGATGAATAGCTTCCGCAGCTGTTCGGGTTCTTTAGGAGACTCTGACTTAGACATGATGGCAGTGGGAAGAGAGACTTTAACGATGCTTCCTCAGCAGCATCCACAGGCAGAAAGCTGAATTGTACACTTTTTAAAGGTAAATGTCAGCTGGGCACAGTGGCACACACCTGTAGTCCCAGTTACTTGGGGTGCTGAAGCGAGAGGATCTCTTGAGCCTAGGAGTTAAAGACCACCCTGAGCAACCTTATCTCTAAAAATAAATAAATAAAAGGTGAATTTTAGCTGGGGGCACAGTGGCTCGCTCCTGTAACCTAGCACTCTGGGAGGCTGAGGCGGGAGGATCGCTTGAGGTCAGGAGTTCAAGACCAGCCTGAGCAAGAGTGAGACCCCCATCTCTACTAAAAATAGAAAAATTTAGGTGGGTGTGGTGGCACATATCTGTAGTCCCAGCTACTTGGGAGGCTGAGGCAGGAGGATTGCTTGAGCCCAGGAGTTGGAGGTCACGGTGAGCTATGATGATGCCACTGCACTCTAGCTGGAGCAACAGAGTGAGATTCTGTCTCAAAAAAAAAAAAGGTAAATTTTATGGTATGTGAGTTACATCTCAATTAAAAATGGTGCCAAAATAAATATTCTGTGCGCTATTAGTTTTCTATTTCCACCCTAACAAAATACTGCAAATTTAGCAGCTTAAAAGAATGCCGATTTATTATCTCACATCTTCTGTGCTTCAGAAGTCCAGGCAAAAGGGTGGCTCAGCTGGGTCTCTGCTTAGAGTTTCACAAGGCCAATCAGGGTAGCAGCATAGCTGTATTCTTTTCTAGAGGTTCTAGGGGAAAATCCATTTCCAGGCTAATTCAGATTGTTGGAAGAATTCAGCTGGATGTGGCTACAGGACTGAGGTCTCCTGTTTCCTTGCTGGCTCTATGTCTTTACCTGTTAGTACCATCCTGCTAGTAAATACCATTAATGTATTTGACAGGAAGTCTATCACTACTATGCTTATAAGGGAATTTGATTAGTTTGCATCTTTTTGGAAGTGACTAGTAGGAGGAGAAAATAGGTTGAAAGTCTGCTGGTCTTTTCTGTTTGTTTTGGAGACAGAGTCTTGCTCTGTTGCGTGAGTAAGAGTGTAGTGTCGTCATCATGGCTCACAGCAACCTCAAACTCCTGGGCTTAAATGATCCTCCTGCCTCAGCCGCCCGAGTAGCTGGGACTAAGGCGTACACTACTGCATCCAGCTGCCCTTTCCTTATATCTATAACAGACTCCCCCCTTTTTATTTTTGATTTGTTAGAGAAATTGGGTAATTTGTCCTGTACCATATTCTAGATTTGTCTGATTGTTTCATCATTTAGTATCATTTAACTTGTTCCTCTTTCCTTTTATTTCCTGTAAACTGGTAATCTGAACTCATTGAGATAGACAGGTTTAAATAGATTTAGGTTTAAATTTTCTTAGAAATGAATTCTTCCTAAGTGTCGTGTACTTCTGTTGCACCACGTCATGCAGCACATGTGTCTCTGCTCATTTCACTTTTTGTGATGCTAAGATTGGTCAATGAATTTGGGTCATATCACACCGTCTTATCAAGGTCCCCATCAACCCATCAACTTTTTACCTAATTCAGCATTTATTGATGATCCTTACCTAGAGTCATTATTTTATTAGGATTTGTCAAGTGGTGACTGCCTAATTCTGTCATTTATAGATTAGTTTTTAAAAGTTATATATGTAATTTATATATGTAAATTTTTTGTATTTGTTTTTAGCTTCTATACATAGTCTTATTTTGGGTGAGAATTAGGTACCCTAATTTCTTTATTTTCTTTATTATGCCTGTGGGGAAAACCAGGAACAAATAGCATTAAATTGTTCTTCTACAGGCAAAATTAAGTGATAAGAGAGTGCAGATGATTTAGTTAGAATCTTTTTTCTCTTTTGAGATGTAATCTAGTGAATTTCTTGAATTAAATTTGTAAGTTTCTGAAAGTGCAGTTAATTTCAGGGGTATATTCCTTACATAGTAGAAAACTGTGCTGTATTTTCCATTCTGTATGATTTATCTTACCTAGTACGTTCTTTTATAGTTTCCTTAAAAAATGATTTGTAGACTTCCTCTCAAGCTTGGTGTTTGGTCGGTGGGGACCCACGCGGGTTCAACACGCGTATCCAGAAGTGTTATTTCTGTTCGGGGCCAGTCTACCCTGGCCACGGCATGATGTTCGTCCGCAATGACTGCAAGGTGTTTAGGTTTTGTAAATCCAAATGTCATAAAAACTTTAAAAAGAAGCGCAATCCTCGCAAGGTCAGGTGGACTAAAGCCTTCCGGAAGGCAGCTGGTAAAGAGCTTACAGTGGATAATTCATTTGAATTTGAAAAATGTAGAAATGAATCTGTCAAATACCAGAGAGAGCTATGGAATAAAACTATTGATGCAATGAAGAGAGTTGAAGAGATCAAACAGAAACACCAAGCCAAATTCATAGTGAACAGATTGAAGAAAAATAAAGAGCTACAGAAAGTTCAGGACATCAAAGAAGTCAAACAAAACATCCATCTTATCCGAGCCCCTCTTGCAGGTAAAGGAAAGCAGCTGGAAGAGAAAATGGTGCAACAATTACAACAGGATGTGGACATGGAAGATGTTTCTTAAAAATATCACTGTAACCATTTTCTATATGTACATTTGAAAGTGTCCTTTGGAGACTAGAACTTCTAAGTTATTGGTTTATTTTTTACATAAGGGCACTCAAATGAAAGGTGATTAAAAATGTATTTCCTACATTGCTGTCTGCAAAACATCAGATAGTATGGGTGTTAGATTGCATCTCAATGTTAAGCCTTCAATGATAGATGTGCTTATGTAAATTATGAAAATTCTCTTTTTGAATACAGAAATGAATTGTGGACAAAGTGGTCGTGCCATTGGGATAATGGCACTAGACAGCATTTATATAATAACTAAGGACAAAAATTCTGGCTAGTGATATATAAAATAAAATTTTCATTGCAGTATAATTCTCTTTGTTAATGTTATAGAAGGGGAGATACAACAAGTAACTAATAATTTGTGACTGTCAGCTTCAAATACTATCTTTTATTTTGATCAGTATTTCCTGTTTTGGGTTATTAGCATCTTATAAGAAGAGCATAATGGCCTCATCTTGTGAAGCCTAATTATACTGAACTGTTTTGGCCTTAACTATGGATGTTGAGGATGAAAGCTAAATAATCTTGGCCTGAAATGGCACTATCTAATTTCTACTTTGGAGAATACTCAGTTCTAACTTGTGATTCCTGGTACAACAAGCTTTATTTTTCTAGCCCAGCAGCGATCATCTGGAAGCAGAGGAATCCCAGTGCCTTTTAAAAATTTTTTTTGTGTTATTTTCTGTATAAAAGCTCCTAATTGTTTTTGGAAAAATAGTTTATGGGTCGAATGTCTGTCCATTAGTTGCACATAAAATAAAACCATTTAAAAAGTTAAAAAAAAAAATGATTTGTACTACTACTGATAACTAACATATTCTATTATTCTTTATTTTCAGATTCGAATGAAAGGGTCCCTTCCTTCATTGGATCCTTTCCCTCAGTCGTTACTTAATTATTGTACAGGAGGTGTAGCATTCTTTATTCCCGGAGCAACTGGAGACCACAAGCTTGATGAAGTTTCCATTAGAGTAATAGGTTTGTCCAAAATGAACTGTTTGCTTAGACATCAGGCCTAGGTATCAATAGTGACATATTTTTCATTTGATTTGGGAAAGTTTCTAAACTATTGACTCTTTATAGTATGTTCTGTGATATTTTACTTTGTGTTAACAAGTAAATACTATATTTTGGCTGGGCGAAGTGGCTCATTCCTGTAATCTTAGCACTCTGGGAGACTGCGGCAGGAGGTCAGGAGTTCGAGACCAGCATGAGCAAGAGTGAGACCCTATCTCTAAAAAAAAAAATAGAAAAATTAGCTGGGCATTGTGACATGCACCTGTAGTCCCAGCTACTTGGAAGGCTGAGGCAGTAGGATCATTTGAGCCCAGGAGTTTGAGGTTGCTGTGAGCTATGATGATGCCACTGCACTCCAGCCCAGGCAGCAGAGCGAGACTGTCTCAAAAAAAAACCCAAAAAACTATATTTTAACAGCCATGAATATATTAATACATGTGTTATATATATGGCATTAAATAAGAAATGCATTATGTAAAACAATTGTGACACTTATGACATTATTGTCATTGCTTGATATTTTAAATTTGGAATTTTAGCACTCAAGAATGCCTTTCTGTGGTCATCTTCTTATACTTGGGATATGCTGCCAACTATCTTTAAGTAGACAAGGACGCTTTCAGTATTGACTCACCAGTTTTTTTTCCTGCTGTTCTATCTTAACATACCCTACCTAAGCTTTTCATTTTATACCCATGCCTGTTAGTTTTAATGGCTTTTATTAGCATACATATTATAATTTATTTAAGTTGTTATATGTTTAAATGGCCTTTGGCCCATCACTTTCTTTTTTTATATTTGGAAATATTTCCTTAAGATAGATTCTCAGAAGCGGAATTGCTGAGTTAATGAATATGCCTATTTTATATCTCTTGAAATAGTATGCCAAATTTTATGATTCCTTCAGATTAATGAGAAAAAAATGATAGTTTTATATTAGTATGTCTTTATTTTGATTAGTTACATTGAACATCTGGTTTACTATTTGTGTTTCCTCTTATAAATTAATTTCCTGTTCATGGTCTATGTTTAATTATCTGCATAAAAAGTTTAAAAAGAAGTAGAACTTTAGATGTCATTCCACTCTTTTCTCCTCAATCCGTAATTCTTACCAGTTCCATTTATATTAAGCCCCGCTTTTATCTCCAGACTTTGATTAAAATGTTTTTTGAGCCGGACATGGTGGTGGGTGCCAGTAGTCCTAGCTACTTGGGAGGCTGAGGCAGGAGGTTTGCTTGATCCCAGGAGTTTGAGGCTGCAGTGCCTCAAATAGTCACTGCACTCCAGCCTGGGCAACACAGCGAGACCCAGTTTCTTAAAAAATAAAAAAGTTCTTTTTTAACTCACTCACCCTTAGTACTAATGTTAAATAATATGTATGCTGGAGCTCAGACTGTTTTTCCAACTGTAATGACATTAAAATGCTTCTCTCAGCTGTCATAAGGTTAGTTTCAGAGACTTTTTATTTACTCTAACAAAAGAAAGGGCCAGGCTGTTGTCACCTGAAATGTACGTACAGTCTTATTTCATTTCTTAAAAATCTGGAACTGAGTTAAATTTACAACAATCCCAGTTAAAAGAGTTTTGCTTATAAATAGAACACATTCCTTTGAAGTGATTTAAATAAAGATTCAAACATGTATTTTTAATATTTTCATTTTGATCCTAATTAAGATCCACTGTTTAATTACTCTTTTGCTTGATTTGGTCTCTTGATTGTTGAGAAGTGATTTGGCTGAATTAAAAAGTTTCCTTTCCTATCCCTTTCCTGTCTCTCTTAATCTATAAAAGTTTCCTTTCCTCCATTTTTTTCATGCCATTTACTTATTGAGGAAACCAGAGCATTTGTCCAGTAGAACCTCTTTCATTCTGGTTTCAGTTGATTACTTTTTTTGATATTCAAACTTTTTTGATCATGATTTACAATAAGATGCAGATTTCACATCAAGACAGTACAAACACACACCTGTATAAAATTGGAATGAAGATTCAATGAACTATCCTTACATTTACTATGAGCAATATACTCTTGATGTTTTCTATTCTATTTTATTTTTTTAAGTGGTTGAGAGCCCCTGAATTGATTTTATAGCTTAGTAATTAGTAATATATTATGATTCACAGTTTGAAAAATATAGATAAAGGATACTTTTAGCTGAGTAGTTGCTCAGTGTATTGCTGCACTTTCTCTTGTTGATTCTTGGCCTTAGTTGTATCCCAGCTTGCCTGTGAAATATGAGACAGTGAAACACATCTGGTAGCAGTAGTGCCTTTCTCAAAAGATTGGGCCATGCTCCCCTGGTAGAATCTATCAGAATCTGGTGTGCTAGTGTGGGATGTAGTGGGAAAATGTCCACAGGGAACCCTGATAGTCTCCCTGGGGTGATGTACCCACCACCTTCCCCCTCTTAGGGTGGATAGGACTTGTTGAAGACCTGCTTTCTGCTCACTTTCCATACTTTCTGTTTTTGTGAATAGTCACTTAAAAAGATACATTAAGTAGCTTCCTAAAGAAAATGAAAATACTGACCACTACTATAACAGTCAGTTTACTGGGCTGGGCACGGTGGCTCACGCCTGTAATCCTAGCACTCTGGGAGGCCGAGGCGGGCGGATTGTTTGAGCTCAGGAGTTCGAAACCAGCCTGAGCAAGAGTGAGACCCCGTCTCTACTAAAAATAGAAAGAAATGAATCGGACAACTAAAAATATATAGAAAAAATTAGCCAGGCATGGTGGCACATGCCTGTAGTCCCAGCTACTCGGGAGGCTGGGGCAGAAGGATTGCTTGAGCCCAGGAGTTTGAGGTTGCTGTGAGCTAGGCTGACGCCACGGCACTCACTCTAGCCCTGGCAAAAGAGTGAGACTCTGTTTCAAAAAAAAAAAAAAAAAAAAGTCAGTTTACTGTAAAATAAGGTTTATTAAAAAAAATTAAGTCATAAATGAATGACTGTTAAATTTTAGGGGATTACCTTTCTCCCTCCACAGGAAAAGGTGCTGTTACCACAGTATGGTAGAGAAGATGGTTTTTACTTAATTCGTTACATTTTAGTTATAATAAGAGAAATTAAATTTAAGATTAGCAGAACAGTAGAAACTTGTTTTGCTATCTGGATAGTGAGCCCTTTACATTGTGTATAGTTAAATCATGATGCTCCATACAACAGAATACTATGTTGGCAATAAAAAGACTTCGTATGTTTATGTTATCACCATGAAAAGATATCGAAGATATATTAGGTGAAAAAAAGCTAATTGCAAAACAGCATACATAATATGATTTTATATATCTTTGTATAGTTGTATTGTTTTTTAAAAAAAGTTATTTAATATTAGAAATGTTTTTAGTGTTAAAAAATTTTAAACATAAAAGTATATCAGTCATTTTCCAAATAAATTATACAATGTAGAGCTATGTATATTGGCTTTGAAAAATAATCTAAAATATACTATAACATTATAAAGAAAGTAACCTGATAGTGAATAGAGTTATTTATTCTATAAATATGTTTTCAATATTTTCATGTAACTAATATGCACAAAATAGAATAATATGCATAAAAATTCTGGAAGGTCTCTATGACTTTTACATGAGGACTTTTATATAAGTTTACAATGAACATGTATTTCTTTTATAATCAACAGAATAAAGACATTTATTTAAAAAAAACAGCAGAGATGGAGTTTTTATGATGTTAGTATACATACTCATACAGCTTTCTTATTTATATTCCTGCTTTAGGTTGCTTCAGAGAACTTTGTGCTTTGTGTTGGATGCTGCATATCCGAGATAAGTTATCCTATAGTTGCAGGCAATATCAGAAAGCAAGAGAAAATATAAAGGGAGAAAAGGTATTTACCAGAGCAAGAATAAGAAAAATGAACTAACATTACTTGGGAAATTATTGTTTAATAGAAGATTTTGTTATTTGTAGCAAAAGTTTTTTTTGAACTCATTCTAGTCTATCCATCTAAAGTGAAAAGGAAATGAATTTTTCAATATCCATTTAGGACCTCGAAGTGGAGTTTGACTCTTGTATGGTTGAGCACTGTCTCAGTACGGTGGAATGGGCTTATAGAATGCTGCCTTTCTCTCGGTTTTTTAATATTGAAGATCTTATTCAGGATATAATTTTGAGTCTTATTGGAGAATTGCCACCAATCAGACAGGTAATGTGATCATAGGTAAAAATAAACTAAATCAGAGTTAGAGACTTTAAGGGATTTTTAAAAAAATTTTAATTAAGGATGATGTTGCCTTTCTGTGTCTGGCTTATTTCACTTAGCATTATATCTTCGGAGTTCAGAAAGGCAAATACTGTATGGTCTTATGTACGCGTGGAATCTAAGAAATTCAAGCTAGAAGCAGAGAGTAGAATGTTGATTGCTGGGGCCAGGGGTGTGGTAGAAATGGGGAGATATTGGTCACAGGGTACAAACTTCCAGTTATAAGGTGAATAGTTCTGGGGACCTAATGTACAACATGGTGACTATAGTTAATAGTATATTGTTTAAATGATATTTGATAAGGGAGGGGATTTTAAGTTTCCTTACCCTACACACAGACACAGACACACACACACACACACACACACACAAAGTAGTAACTATGTGTAGTGATGGATGTGTTAATTAATTTTACTGCGGTAATCAGCACAGAATGTGTACATATATTAAATCATGTTACAAACCTTGAATGTACACAATTTTTGACAAATATTTTAAAATAAAAAAAGTTAATGCTGAATTCCTATCAGCAGACTCTTGCTCGAGGAGAGGCTTTGACCTGACATCAAATGATTAGTAATAAACATGCATTTATGTTTTGAGTTAAAATGTTTGAGGATTGACGAGGGGAAAAAAAGAATGATGTTACTTATAAAACTTAAATTTTTTTTCTGAAGGTAGCAGAAATTTTTGTGAAAGCATTTCCCAATCCTAAGGATGTAAGAGTTCCTTTAAGAGAAAAATATCATTCTCTTCAACAGAGACTCAAACACTGTGTTGTAAAAGGTATTCGTTATTTCTCAAATATCTAATAGATAAATTGATAAAGATTCTTTTTGTTTGAAAGCATTTATTTTCTATTGCTTATGTGTCTATGCATTTTTGCCGTTCCCTAGAGATAGGAGTATGAGAAGGTAGAAGCACTTTCCCATTGCAGAAAAACTAGGCCATGTGTGGTGACTCGTGCCTGTAATCCTAGCACTTTGGGAGGCCAAGGCGGGAAGATCCCTTGAGGCCAGGAATTGAAGACCAACCTAGGCAACAAACAGCCAGACCCCTCTTCTGCAAAAAATATAAAAACATTGAATATAAAAACATTGACGTCGTAGTGCGTGCCTGTAGTCCCAGCTACTCGGGAGGATCCCTTGAGCCCAGGTGTTTGAGGTTGCAGTGAGCTATGATGATGCCACTGCACTCTAGCAAGACAGTGACAAAATGAAACTCTCTCAAAAAAAACCCAAAAACAAAAACCAATTCTGTTACTTTGAAACCATATGGAGCTGATGTCACATCATGGCTCTGTCAGTCAGTAACTGTGTGACCTTAGGCAAGTTGTTCAGTCTCTCTGAGCCTCATTTCCTTATTTGTAAAAGGGGCATATTGTTATCAGCTTTATGAATGTGTATTGAGAGAAGATTAAATAAGATATATAAAATGAGCGCATAGTGCTTTGCATATTGCAGGTATTTATTGAAAAGTAGTAGTATTCCTCTCCCTTTATGGTTATTTATGATTCTCATTTTATCCTATACACGCAAGGTGACCTTGTGGAATTTTTTTATTGTGGTAAAATATATGTAAACATGAAATTTGTCATTTTAACCATTTAAGTGTACAATTCAGTGGGTTTAAGTGCATTTACATTGTTGCAGAAATTTTTAAAGAATTCAAATTAGCTTCTTCTTTAGAACTATAATCTAGTATTTAAGTCTAGATATGTCTTGTGAGTTCACATTATTGCATTAATATACTTATTTGTGATTTATATTTTTCTTAATACTTTTTTGACATCTTCTAAAATGCTCTGTTTATGTGTTAATAATGTTTAAAATTTTTTCTATTGAAAGAAACCTCCCTTGCTGTTGTTTCCTATTGTAGTAAGAAAGGCATCCTTGGTTTCTTTTGGCTCAAATTATCCTTATTTTTTCTTAGTCTCTACTCCAGGGGAATGGAAAAAAATTAGTCTTTTAAAAAATAATTACCCTTCTGATTTTTGAAGTAATTAAAAGACTTAAAAAATTTTTTTTTCCAGGGCACACTTTTGAGGAAGGGGGTCTGGGTTCTTTCTCTTTTGTTATTTTGTGACAGACCTTCTTTAGCTTCTGCAGTTCTACTTTAAAATGTAGACCAAAGCTTTTCAATGAATATTGAAGAAAACATGATCTGTGAGAATATGGAAATGAGCCTTAGTTGTCAGTTAGGTTTCATGTCCCAAGGTGGGGCCAGAACTGGGTCCTGTTATGTCTTGAGTTGAAACATTTTAATAAACCCTAAGGCCTTTTATTCTTTTCTTTCTAGGTCCCCAGACTGAGGAAATGATGTCTGTTATCATGCATTCTATCCATAAAGTGAGGGCAAAAGCCCTAAAACGTGTGCGGAGAAATATAGGTTCTTTTGAGATGAATATATGGGAACCAATTGAAGAAGAAAAACCAGATGAGGCTCCAGGTTTTGACAGGTTTTCCCTGGGGACTAGTTTGAGCAGAAGTACACTCACAGAACTGGGGAATTCCATGGTTCACAGTGATGCAGATACGGCAGATACGTTCTCTGAAGTTTTGTTGGTTGAAGAAACAAGTAGGACACATTTCTATCAAAGGTACAGTTGCGATCTCTTAATGACAAGCATTGGGAAAAAATATTTATAGGCCAGTTGCAGTGGCTCACCCCTGTAATCCCAGTACTTTGGAAGGCTGAGATGAAAGGATCTTTTCAGCACAGGAGTTCAGAGTCACACTGAGCTATGTGATCATGCCACTGCACTGCAGCTTGGGCAACAGAGGGAGACCCCATCTCTAAAAAATTAAATAAATAAATGAATGAATGTTTTCAGGATTTTCATGCAACTGATAAGCTGATTTCTAGTCCCAGCAACACTCACTGATTGTGCTATTAACATGAATGATTAAGTGCTACCCTCTCTGCTCATTAGGCTATTAGGAGCATAAAATGAGGCTATTAGGAGCAAAAAATTCATTTTGAGTATTATTGAGATGGGAAATAATTTTGCCATCTGAAATTATAAAATCAAATGAGTAGATAAAATTATTAGTTTACTGGAGGACTGTTAGAGGTTTTTTTTTTTTAGTAATCTTTAGATTTAAATAGTCTGAGATTAGTGGTTAGCCATATTATTTTTAAGAGTTTTCAGGGAAGGAAGTTGCATATTCATCTTTGAAACTTGTCTATAAATTGTTGGGAAATTCTTTTTGTATAAACCTATGTTATTTAAGCTGATTTTTTTCTTTATAATTCCAGTATCTACAATGTAGTATATCCTTCTCATGGTTTAAAAACTCTTTAGTCAGTAATATTCTTGCTTAAGTGAAATAATCATATCAGTTAAACTATATCTAATAGCATTTTAAATGATGTGCTTGTTTCACAAAAGAACTGTACATTTAAGCGTTAGCATGGGAATACCCTAACGGCTGCTTATTGTGCTTTCTCAATGAGAGATGTAATGACTTCAGTCCAGGTGCCCAATACCTCTACTCTTACTAAGGGAACAAAGGATGTGTGTTCTGCCGTAAGCACCATGTTGAAAAGAAACAGATTTAAAAGTAACTGTGGTTGGGCAGCTAAAGTGCCTGCCTAACAGGTTTCATAGTAGCTGAAAGGGTTTAGAAAAAGTTCCCAATTTTTTGTGATAAAACAAAAAAGGGCAGTCCTGCTTGTTGCACATGGTATAAAGGGGTATACACAAGAGAGAAACAAACCCTAAATTAAGATGTGTGTTAGTAGCTTGTGATTTTTATTGACTTTGTATTCCCAGATTCTGATCTATTAAAGGATTTTTTACCTCAAGAAAAAACATTGATGTGCTTTTATATAGTGAAATTTCTACAAGTTCATTTTAATTTCTTTTAATACAAATTTTCCCTTTTGATATTAAAGCATTATATTTTTTGACCTCATAGAATGTTCTGCTCTTGAAAACACTTAGTGATTATTAGTCCAACCTCCTCATTTAAAAGATAAATAATCGAGGCACAAAAAAGATACATGACTTAATCAGCAGAGAGAATTTTTAATATCAATTCTAAGATCAGTTTTAGTGATTAAATTTTTAATTTTGTCTTTTTCCTTTTCTTTTTTTCTTTTTTTGATCATAGAAATGCCCTAAATCATACGGAATTAACATTGATTGGTAAGCACAGTGATAAAAAGGGAATATGTAATCAGAAAGAAAACCCTAAAAGGAAAGAAGATCATGAAAAGTTATCACAAAATACTCTTCCTGTAATAGGTGCTTGGGAATTTGAACGTGATGATGATGAATATATTAAATTCCTTGATCTCTTCTTGAGTTACGTTCTTGAAAGAGATCTACATAGTTCTAGGGATCTTGGCATTCCATTTCTAACCAGCTTTTCTGGGCAGCTTAGAGAATATGAGCTTAATTCTTTACTTTTTGATGTACATACAACATTAAAACGACGTCAGGGCAAAACTAAAAGCCAAAGTGTATTTAGAGCTGGCTCTTGCTTTGTTGCTGCTCCTGAGTCATATGAATCTGAAAAATCATCCTCCTTAAAAGAAGGATATGCCATAAATATAGAAAACCAGGCACTTTCAACTTCAGTAACGTTTAACCAAGGGATCACACCATTTTTAGAGAACCCTTTGAATGAAGTCCATAAAAATGAAGGAAAGAGTGGATTGTTTGGTTTAAAACAAAAGTCAATTTACAGAATACAAGATGACAACCAAGAGAAACCTCTAATCCAGAGATCATCAAACATTTTTTGGACTCCCAAGTCCATTAAAACTAGAAGATGTATTTTCAGAGCAATTCAGTGTGATGATATTAACCCTCAGGAAGATCTTCCTGTAGCACTAGATAACACATTTGGCAGTATAGGAAGACTGCTGGAATGGATGATAAGATGGTCTGATAGAAGACTGCTCTGTGATTCTGGTATAACTGAGCCATCCTGTGAGTACAGTCCAGTAATTCGTGTAAAGACCTCTACAGCTGCCATTCTTACATCATTATGGCTTTTGGAACAACCCTATTTTGCCTCATATAAGGCAAAAAATGGCATTATTAAGGTAAATATATAAATTGTTTATTATATACAAATGAGAATTCTCATTTTAGATTAAAACTGTATTTATGTTTTCCCACCTATTAAAGAATCACTAAGTAATGGAAGATTAATGACAATGTTGATTATAACCTGTATTACCTAATTTTTTTCTTCAGGTGGTTCCTTTAGTTCTTAAAAGTAGTTAGAGTGTAAGCGCTTCAGAGAGGCTGTGAGGTTTTATGTATGTTTATAAAAAAGAAAAAGGGAAGGAGGTAATTTTAAGTGATTTACATTTATATTATTCCTCCCTTAAGTTTCAGGTTTTGGTTCAGATGAAGGACTAAGTAGCTATCCAGTTTTAATTACTGATATCCCATCAGATGCATTAGGGGATCATTTTTCTTATATTCATAACGCAGAAGAAGTTGGAGAACCAAACTTAGACAGGCAGATAGGTGTCAGTAGAGGAGTTAGTGCTAATAAGCTATTCTTTCTTTTCTCTAGTCAATGGCAAATACCTTCATTCTAAAACAGTTTATTCTAGGTTGAAGAGTTGGGGGGAGGGGGCGTTAATTTGTTTTGTTTTCCTTTTGTGTTTGTGAATTTTTTCTTTTTTTTTGAGATCAGTTTCTGTTATCCTAAGGTATACAGTTTATATAATACTGTGATATTTGTTGTCTTTGAAATTTATATTTCTGGGTAATATATACATAAATTTTTAAGTGAGACAAAAGGGCTATATCCTTGGTATTTTTAGCTGCATATATTTTTGTCTACTATGTCATTTTGAAATAACTACTGAGTGTCTTTAAAATAGCAAAGAGGGCTGGGCACAGGGTTTACACCTGTAATGCTAGCACTTTGGCAAGCCAAGGTGAGAGATTTGCTTGAGGCCAGGAGTTCAAGAGCAGCCTGAGCAACATAGCAAGACCCTGTCTCTACAAAAAATAGAAAAATTAGCCGGGGGCATGGTGGCACATAACTCTAGTCCCAGCTACTCAGGAAGCTGAGGCAGGAGGATCATTTGAGCCCAGGGGTTTGAGGTTGCAGTGAGCTGCGATGATGCTACTGCACTCTAACTCAGGCAAGAGAGCGAGACCCTATCTCAAAAATAAAATAGCAAAGAGAATGAGATGAGAATGTTACTTTTTTTTTTTTTTTTGCCATTGTTTTGTGGCCTGAAAACAAATTTGTAAGGCTGATTTCTTTTGAATAGCATTTAAGTAGTCAGATTTGCTTTTTGTAGTTGGAATAGACTTGATCATTGCTTCAGCAACAAATATTGAGTTGTAGAAATGCAATAAATACTTGATAAACGAATAAGAGAATCAGAAGTTATGTAGAAAGTATGAATAATTTTAAAATATGTTGAAAAATAAGAGTTCAATAACAGATACTAAATACTGTAAATGGTTTGTTTTAGGTAGTAGAGAATCATTACACTGGGTCTCAGATTGTTCCCAGTATTGAGAAGGAGCACAAAACAGATGCGGGCTGTTCAGTTGCAGTAGCAACTCAAGGTGGAACTGAGGAAAGAAATGATCAGAATAAATCTTGTCAAAGTATCTTGAAGTAAGTCGCTGATTATACCTTCCTTTTCAATGGAAGGTACTTGATTTGATGGTGTTTGGGCTTATAGGGAAGAATTGAACCCTTGAAAGTTAAAGGAATGAGCATTTCTTTGAACTAGAGGAACAGGAAGTAAACTTTCTGAAGTGCTTTAACAATTCATTGCGAATTATATTTTTTCCTTGTTGGTCTAGTTCATATCTTCTGAGAGAGGAGTTAATTCATCCTGAGAAATTCCTGTATTATGTTAATTTATTTCCCATGTCAAAGAAAGTTGCACTAATCCTTTCATCTGTTTTTACATATGAAGTAATACTAGGAGTAATATATCTTTGAATACTAAGGCAAAAGCCCTTAAAGCTTGAAGAGTCCTTTGTGAGAATGGTAAATTTAGATAAGTTGAAATTATTCTAATCTTCTGAGTAAATAGAAACTAAGATGTTCAGTCATTCATTGAAGAATTCTTTTACTGAGCTTCTACTATGTACCAGAACTGGTTTTTAAAAAATACTGTATAGATATGAAACCTGTTCTTTGTTTTCAAAAAACTGAATCAAATGAAAAGCAAGCTCTTTGTCTCCAAGAATGAGTTGTAATTTTAGCTGCTGCATTTTTGTCAGTATAATGCCAACCGAAGCAAAAAATCCTGAAATAAGAGAAATCGATGATGAGATTATTTCCATCACTCATAATACTGAAAAAGAATTTATAGATATCAATGAAGATCTTCTAGAAGTAGAAACATTTACACAGCAGGAAATGGATATACACATATCAGACTATGAAGGTCAGTTCATTTAGATAATTTCTTTCTTTGGGTTTATTAATGTGAAATTGGTAAATGATATTATCTGAGATAACTTACTTAGTCTTATATTTAAGTTAGTGTATTTGCAATAGCTTAAAACCAAAAATTAAAAGATAATGTAGTATTTATGAAATATTGAACATATTAACTCATAACCTTGGTTTTAGTAAATCCAAGGAGATCTAAGGTATTTTTGTGTTGGCAGCTCTTTTACAATTATTGGGCCTTTTGCTCTGCTTATGTAATAATTATGGCCTCTTAATCCCTGTCAACCGACTCTATAAACATCTCCCTGGTAGTCTTCCTTAAAACAGAAACTCTCAGGGTTTTCTATGAAGTTATACATATTGATATGAGGTCTCTCAGGGGTCCTCTGGGATTTACTTGATGAAGAGGGAATAGTCTCTAGGTGTTTTTAAAGACAGTCTTTGTAAGGAGGATGAAAATATTTCTGTCATTTTGTTTCCTATAACATTCCCTGAACCTTCTAAAAAGTCAATAGATTATCTTTTTAAATGGTCTGTTTTCCCTTCCTCTTTGTTTCTCGCTAGAAGACACCAAAGAACCTGTTGGAGGTCTCAAAAGTCCCAATATTGCCATTTGTACACTGACTTTACCACAACAGTTAGAAGTAAGTTAATAAATAGTAGATAAAATTATTCAACTTTTATTTTGTCTAGTACTTACATTATATGTATTTTTATTCATTGTTGTTAAATACATCACAGCAAGGCTATCTCTTAAAAGTGCACTATGGATTATAGAACATCACCATGCCATGTAGCATTTTTCTTTCACTGAAATTCTGTTACTGTGTAGTAACCTGTTCAATAATTTCAGGCAATGAAATTTGCATCTCATAAACTGCTTTAGCAAATCAATCAAGTGGTGAAAAGCATCCTTTATTTAAAAAATATAATTCAGCTATAGTATGCAGTTTTTGTATATATATGTACTTTTTGTATTATTTGTTTTCTTAGCAACTGTGTACACTGAATTGCCAGGTAGAACGTAGACATTTTCAGTCATAGTAACAATTCTTTTAAAAAGGATTAGTTTTTCCTGATTTTACAGTTTTTTCACAGGGTAATCAATAATCACGTAGTGATGGGTGTATATAATTTATAATGTGTTGGTCTACTTGCATCATCTTGTCTCTATACCTCAACGTTCTCAGTAGCCCAGGGTGATGGGCCAAAGGCAATTCACGCAGTATAAAGATCCGTTCAGAGCAGGACTGGAAGTACGTTTTAGTGTTTAATGTCTCATTTGCTATAGACTGTTGTTACTCTGGGTGAGTGGCTAATGTGAAACTCAAAATACCTAAGACACTAATACTTATTTGTTTCACCTCTTTTCTTTTTGGGTACCATTAATTTCAACAGCATTCCACAGAAGAGGTTCAGTGTCCAAGGGAAGAAACATTGGAGACAAATACGGAGAAAAAATTGACTGAACAGAAAAGGTAAGTGGGGAAAAAGTATGGAAGTGATTACAACTGGTTTGGTGACCTCAGTGAAGCTTTTAGCTTTTTTTTTCCTCATAATTTACAATACATATTTTGTGGTGGTATTTTGTTTCTAGTGAAATTGTTACTTCAATTTATGGTTATAGAAAAAAGTTGTTTTTGGTAAACATACTTCTAAGTCTTGGTAGAGTGAAATAAATAATAATATCTAAAATGCCTTTTGGTCTCTCATCACTTTATCAGCCTTATCAAAATAAAATAGAGTTGTAAATAGACCAGAGTTTATTCAGCTGCTACTTAGGAAAACACCTTTCCATACTGATTACATTTTTATTGAATCAAATAATGATTATGAATCACTATATATAATCTTTCACCATCTGTTAGGGCTATGATGTACACATACTCTGCTGGCTAGCTTATTATTGCTTTAAGGAGAGCTGACAGCAGTTTCCATGTGTTGCAATTTGGACATAATATGTTAATTTTTAAAATTTTAGAAGTTTTAGAATTTTAGAATTAGCTTGTATAAGAGAGGCATCATAATTAGGTTTTCTTTCTCTTTTCAATACACAAACTTTGTTTAGTTTTTCTGTGGATAATTAACAAAAAGAATATATTTAATATGTGCCTTCATAAATAATACAGATATTTCTGTTAATAAAAACTAGTCTTTACAGTTACAATTATGACAGTCGGCTCTTTAGTGTTCTGAGCAAAGTGTCTGCCTCTTCCGTGGAGGAAATTTGGGTTCCAGGTATCCTCATGTCCACTCATTTTAGATTCCATTGTTTTCATTGCTGAGCAGCCAATAGTATTTAATTGGTGTGTTAAGTCATCCAGACATACTTTTTGCTTTTGTTTGAATCTGTTACTAATTGCTATGGAGACAGATGTAAACAGATTATAATTATGAGCTAAGCATTATAGAGGATTAGAGGATGTTTAGATTCTTAGATGGCTGAGCTAAATTAGATCACCTGTACCCTAGGTAATGCAAAGAATATCTTGCTTCCTAATCACTTACTGCTTTTTATATGTAGTATGATCGAAGCCGTTTCCAATCCTGAACATACCATTCCTCATTCATTTTGTGTAGACACAAGTTCAGAAATATCTAGGTAAGAATTTTTGCCTACTATATCATTTTGGAATAGTTGTGTTTTATAAATAAGGGAATGAAAAGATACCTACTGTACCATTTTGAAATAATTGCTGGATGTTTTGATTAAAAACTAAGAAAATAAATGAAAATAACATGAAGCATTGAAAGAGCAACATAGGCACACATTTCTAACATCTTTAATTACTGAAAGAGTGTCCACTAACAGTTGTGTTTTAAAACCTACAGGAACTATATTAGAACAGTCTTTTCTGAAAAAAGTAATGAAAAGTAGTGGATATATTATTGAAAGATGGAGTTGTTGCTCATTTTCAGCTTCTGATTTCTAGTGTTTGAAATGCTTTTAATTCTCTCATAGAACAAATTTACCTAGTTCTGCCTTTGGAATTTCTTTTATAGAGGTTGAGCAGAGTGCTTAGTGTTTAGAAAAAGAGGAAGAAAATATAGCACAGCTTTACTTCAGAAAAATTTTACATAATTAGAATCAATCTCCTTGCTACTTATTGAAGACAAAGCTCAATAAAGTTGTCTTAAAATAGACAGATCAGTTGTAATATCTGTTTTTCATGGATTTGCCAAATAAAGTTTTGTTGTAGAGCATATCGGATGCTTGATAAAGGGCAAATATTATTGCCGAATGGAAATGAGTGTAAGCCCAAATAAATCTAAATGCAATTTAATATGTGCTTTTCTTTTTTAGAAACAATGATCGATTTATTTGAATCTCCTTCCTTATTTGGTGTATAAAATTTAATTGCTTAGGAAACTTTGAGTACCTGCTATGTTTAAGGAATCATTCTCCAATAATCATTTTGTTTTAAAAAAAAAAAAGCAAAGGAACTTGCTTTGATCTTTAATTTTTATTTCTAAATAAGTATTTTTTTGTTAAAGTTTATTGTAAATGTAAATTTTGTGGTTTGTTTGGAAATGAAATGTTCAAGGTACTGTTGTTTCACGTTTAATGATGATAAGCAGTGGTTTGCTCTATTGAGGCTAGAATTAAACATTTCTTTAAACTCATTCTTTCCCTAGAGTCTTTTTCTTAACTCTACCTGGATCTTATTCCTAAGTCAAATTACAAAGTCTATGCAGTTAATCAGAATGACTGTACAGGTCTCAAACTCAGATGCCCGTAGGGACCAGGCAAGTGAAATAAATGTCAGCACTTCTGGGTTGTAACACCACAGGAAGGAAACTGTCCCCACCCAGACAGGACATGTTCCTTACTAAAGGCATTAGAGGAAAAATGGTGCTGATGATGAACATGTCTGGTGGCTGGTGGTACTAGAGAGATAGGCTTAGGGTTTAAATTTTCTGAAAACTACCAGAATAACCTTTAAATTTGAAGAAAAAAGTGGGATCAAAATATTCAGATCATAGACATCCAGTTTGGTTTTTGTTGATTAATGTGTGTTTTTTATTTAAATGCTTTCCACATAGTGCACAGATTTCTACATTTAAAGACAAATCTTCTTCAGTTCCACCTCTGGTATTAAGTGGAGTCAATGTTGCTTCACAAACATCTGTTCCAACATCTCAGAAGACCCAGGGAAATGAACACAGGGCTCAATTACCAGATTCTTCAGATTCTGTTAGGCAAATGCTCCAAGATGAAATGTTTAAATTAGTTCAGGTGAGCACATCTCTATATAAGTAAGTAAATCTACACATGATATACATGAGGTTTTAAAGTATTAACAAACTTCCAGAAATGGACAAGTTAAAATTAAATTGCAGCTATTTCTCAGCTTCTGACATTCTTCATTTGTCATTCAAAAGTTCATAACTTTTCAGGCTGGCGTCGTGGCTCACACCTGTAATCATATCATTTTGGGAGGTTAAGATGAGAGGATCACTCGAGACCAGAAGTTTGAGAACAGCCTGGACAATATAATGAGACCTGCTTCTACCAAAAAATTAAAAATTAGCCAAGTGTGGTGTGCACCTGTAGTCCCAGCTACTTGGGAGGCTTAGGCGAGAGGATCTTTTGAGCCCAAGAGTTCCAGGCTGCAATAAGCTATGATCGTGCCACTGCACTCCAGCCTGGCAACAGAGTGAGACCTTGTCTCAAAAAAAAAATTGTTCATAACTCTAGGACTAGAGTCTCGGCTAAGCTACCTACTTACTTCTCACAATGACTTTTTTTACACTGAGCTCTTTGGGATGCAGCTGCTCACAAAACACCTGGGTGGTAATCAAACCAGACCAGCAGGCTCCTACCCAAAAGTATCCAAAATTTAAATTTTCTAACTCAGGCTGTCACATCATATTTCTTATCCACAGACCAAATTTGGTCTTGAGTTGAAACTGTCAGCTTCATTTCAAATTACTGTTTTCTTTGACTTCCATCATCTTTATCTTGCCTGGCTATCCCTTTTTTTTTTTTTTTTTTTGTCTACCAACAATTTTTAATTATTTCTATTTTCTTTTTTATCCTTGAAACGTTAATTTCCCTCAAATTTAATTCTCTGCTCATTTGTTCTACAGTCACTTCCATATTCCTTTATGTCATGCAATATACCATCTTTATATTGATGATTCTTGGCACTAATTTTCTCTTTGAACTTATGGGCCCTGGTGAGAATACTTTTTCAACATGTCCTCCTGTCCCATGAAACATACTGAAACTGATTTTGTTCTTATTTTCCCAGTCTCTCCTTTCCCTTTTCTGTTTAGTAACACCACCTGTTCTGCCAGCTTAATGTTTTAGAAATATTTCTCAATCTGTGTCTTATGGATTACCTGGGGACTTTCCTGGTCACTGTCCTGTATATTTAACAAGTTCTCCACATTATTCTGATGCATACAAAAGATTAACAATCACTATCTTAGAGAGTCATCTTTCCTTCTTTCATTACCCTCACCAAGTGTTTTACTATGCTCTCTGGATTCTTTTGCCCACATTATGTCAGTATAGACATTTGCTGTTTCTACAGCTATAGCCAACCTTAGATTCTTAGTATTTCATACTTCCTTTATCTTATATATGCATTTTCTAGGATACTTTCTTCAGATATTACTTTAATACTATTATTTTCCTATTTTAAAATCTTCAGTAAATTTCAGGTACAAATTTTGTATACTGTATGATACCAATCCTGTTTTAAAAGTATAAAGAGAGTGAAAGGAAATAAACTAAAATGTCAGTACTGGTTATCTTTGAGAGTAGGATTATGAATGATATTTATTTTATTTTTTAACTTTCTGTTTTGTCTCATAATAAATGTATATTTCTTTCATAATTGAAGGGAAACCACATTTTTTTTAACCTGCATTGTTTCCCTGTTGGTTTGTTATATCAAGTGCAGATTCTTCTGTTGCTCTTCAAAGACCCCGCTACCATCCTTTACTTGCCCTCCTTTCCTGCCTTACTCTCACAAGTCCAGTGGTTCTCAGAGTGTGATCCCTGGACTAGTAGCATCTACATCACTTAGACCTTGGAAATACAAATTCTCAGGCCCCCATCCCATACCTATTGAATCAGAAACTCTTTGGATGAGGCTCAGCAGAGAGTGGTTTAACAAGTCCTCCAGGTGATTCTGCTGCGTACCGAAGTTTGAAAACCACCACACTAGCCTATCTTTTCATTCTCCTGCTATAAATCTGTTCTAGCTAAGCCAATGTGTATGCTAGTGAGTCTCAAGCTTTTCTGCATATGATCTTAATGAGTACTGATCCTGGCTCCCATCCCCACACATTCTGATGTTATCATGGGATGGGATCTGGCCACTGGGACTTTTTAAATACTTCCTCAGTTGATTCTACTGTGCAGCAAAGTTTGGGAACCACTTGTGCCTGCCAGGTCTTTCGAGAGAATCCCTTGCTCTTCACTTAGTATTACTCTCTGCCCTTTTCTTTCCTGAAAACTGTTCAGAACAAACTTATTCTGAGAATGCTTTAATTATCCCACTCCACCAGATCACTCTTTATGATCCTTGGGATGTTTATGTAAACTGGTTTACAAATACTCCCAACTCTCATTCGTGAGTCAGTGTTCATATTCTCAGATGACAGGAAGCTTTACATTTTTTTCTATTTTTAAAAATCTCTTTGGCATGCCTCCAGCTCAGCAATCATGAGTCTGATAGATACTGAGACAAAGGTGCGACTGCTATACTCAGATAATTGTTGTTGATTCCTTAGATTCTTTTCATTATATTTTAAGATATCTCTTTAATTTTTGTTTTATTCTAGCTACAACAAATCAACTTCATGAGCCTAATGCAAATAGTAGGATCATCCTTTGCTAATATCCCAGATATACATCAACTTCTACAGCAGTCTCAGTCTGTGCATTTGGGGCAAAGCCAAGTATCAAACCCCACAGGAGGAGGGTGTGGTGATGTCGAAGACAGCAGCAGAAATCTTAAGGAGCGATTTTTCATTAAACCACATTCCATGGGAGAGTATACCAGAGAGCCTGGCAAGAACAGCCCCCACTACCATGAAGGAATTATCCAATCTGATCAAACTAGTAATGGAAATGTACAGGTGATACATATAAAAATGCCATTAATGTCCTAGTAGTCCAATTGGTAGAGTTTCTTTTGTCATGAGTAATTTTTTAAAGCAATTATCACATTGTATTCCCTCTAAAACATACTGGACACCATTTAAAAAACAAGAAATTTCTAATACATCCTAAACTTACACAGTATCTTTTTTCTCTTCCAGAATATTCCACGTGAGCGTATTCCTTTATGTCAATTAGATGGCCAACCTAAAAAGAGAGGACTAACTCCAACATCGCAAAACTCACCTCCCACTTCATTTTCTCCAGCTCCTGGAAATACTCACCTCCACCTTTTGTCTACACCTTCCGTTGTTCAAAAGACACCTAAACTTATCCCACTTGCAAAAACTTTTAGTCCTAGTGACAGTTTTCCTTTGCTTCAATTTCAGCCTAAGCATGAATTCAAGCCCCTTTGCTTACATACGGGAAGAGTTCCACAAGTTCCCTTTAGACCTCTGCCACAGCCAAGAGAGGCTTGGGGATTATCTGATTCTTGTCAACCTGCTTTGCCACAGAAAGTAATGCATACTACTTCAATATCCCATTTGAATTTAAGCCAGTATAATACTGAAGTCATAAAAAAAGCAGTTGAGCAGAAGAAATGGGAAGAAAGTATAATAACAGAAATTCCTAAGCATGTGAACTTGGATCAGTATGTTGGACAAGAAAACTGGACAACTCAGCAGGACTCTTCAATATCTATAAAACCAGAAAAAATATTTGATATTAAGCCAGGGCCCCTGGAGATATCTCCTCACAGTTCCTTTGGACTTCCGTTATTACACTTGCAACTTAAACCTCCTTATATATTTTCATCAACCTCAAGAGCATCAGTTACAGTTCCCTCAATACCTATCGGAACTGTTGCAGAAGAAAGAAAATACCCAAGACTATCATTACTTCATTCATGTCTGTCCTCAGAAAATATGGTAATGAATTTTTGCATGGTGATGCAAAAACAGAGTCCTGCATTTTTTAATACCATAAAACTATATATGGTCAATGAAAAGCTCTTGCACATTTAAAAAAAATAATGCTTCTTTTATAGAGAATATCATATGAAATCAGGTTGAAAGTAATAATTGTGTATTTTAAACGTTTTAGGTCTTTCCTATTCATCAATACTAAAATTTATAGACTGTTTCACAGATATTTCTTCTGCTTAGAGAAGAAATAAGTAAAATAAAATTACTAGGTGCTCCTGTTTGTTTGTGTGCGCGTGTGCATGTAGAGAATGAGATCAAGTGAGCGCACATAGTGCTTGAGATTCCTAGAAATTCTGATGTGATTGTCTTCAAATCTGTTACAGGTTAAAATTGTTAAATAGACTCAATCTGTTAGTAGTAGTACATGTAATAAAATAATAGCTTTATAAACCTGCCAAATCTTCTTTAAAGGTGTAACTTTTGATTTATGGAATTCAAATTGTTTAGTTTTGTAGGAGAGCAATACTATCTTAGGGAGGTAATTTGAGTATTTCATTTTCTAGTGTGCCTTTAAGATTTGAAGATGGTGCTGGGAAAAGAAATGGTTATTCCTTAGAAAAAATACTTACCATGACTCCTTTTCTTCTGAACATATTATCAACAGAAGAAGAGAGGATTAAACAAGTGGAGAGGTAGACATTTTGAGAAGAATTTTCTTAAAAAATTTTATCAGAGAATAATATAATGAACTCCCATGTTGCCATCACCCCGCATGAGGGATTCTCAGCAGACTGCTGATCTGCTCCATCCACAGTCTTCGTGTCTCTTCATCCTCCCTGTTACAAATCACTTTTAATTAAATGCCAGATACAATATCATTTCATTTATAATTGTAAGAAGGAATATTTTTAGTAAGGAAATGAAATTAAGAAGATGAGGACTTCTAGCTTACTTTGTGAAATAGGATGACCCAGTTTAAACTTTCACTATCCAAAAATCACTTTTTCTCTAAGGTACAGATACTGAGCTTAACCAGATCAAGTCAGTTTGTTATGTTTGATTTATTCTGTCTCTTGTATATCTTAGTCTAATTTAACCAAATGTTTTTTCTCACTTTTTTAACATATTGCATAATTGAGTTTGTAATTTGTCATTATTATGCTCTGTTTCTTTCCTGTAGTACAAAAAACTGCAACTTATCCCACTTGAAAACCTCACTGCATTTAAACAAAGACAACAGAAACTAACACCTAATTTATTTGAACAAGGTGATTCTGGACATCTTCATCTACTAAAGGTCAAAATAGAGCCATCTGAAGTAAGACAAGGAAAGGACAGTAAAAAAAGGCAAGTTTTAAATGAAATTTTATTTGATAATATCAGGTACCAGCAAGTTCATTATCATTTACAATCATACAGTTATAAAGGTAGAAGTCATCTGGTTCAGCCCCCAACCTATACACAATTGCATATTCATTCTCCTTGTCAAGTGTCATGCTTTTGAACACATCTTATAATGAGGAAAATTGCTGTATTTTGAGTTCAGTACTATCATTTTTTCCATTTTATTTTGACATTTTTTTTCCTACCAGTCATAACTGAAGGACTCTTTTACATGTTTCTGTAATAGAATGAGCTGTTATCATTTGCAGCAGAAATACTTGGTATTATGCAATATTCCATTGTTCAGTAGTCCCCCCCCGTATCCACAGGGGTAGGCTCTAAGACCCCCAGTGGATGCCTGAAACCACAGAAAAAAAAAAAAAAAAAAAGGAAAAGAAAATAATTTATTAACATAATTTTGATAACAGTCTCTCTACTTGGCATGATACAAATGAAAAACTGATGTTACTATAAATAATAAAAGTGTATTTTATGCTATTGTGTTTAACAGGCAGAGGAGAAGAGCAGAGAAAGCGTTGCAAGAAAAAAGATCTGAGAAACCGAAGAGAAAACCAAGTGTGACTTTTCGACCAGAGGATTCCATCATTAATAATGATGATTCAGAAATCATTCAGAAACCCAAGGTATAGAACAACTAGTATAGATTCTTCCTTGATTTGTATATACACAGAGTTTAGTATGTCTTTGTGGTTTATCTAGTCTGATTTCTGGAAGCTTCAGGTTATAATTAGGAGGATCTTTACATCATTCAGTAGATAAATCCCTGCTACTTCTCTCCACAGAACAGTGGACGTTCACAACAGTAGTAGTTCACAACAGTAGTAGTTGTGAATGTCAAAAGCAACTTCAAAAACTGCAGTTTAGGGTGCCTGCCTGTGTGACTTTTTCATATTTGAAATCACTCTTTGCTTTTTTCTGTGACATCTTAATGCATATAATTTGTTATTTGGGCTTCTCCTGTTGCAGTTTCACCTATCTCTGAGGTTTCTCTAAGATTTTCTCTAGGTTTGTTATGTAACCTATATTTTAAGTCAGATCTTTTTAAACATACCTTCTAAATTTGGTGACTGTCTATTTAGCTATTTTTGCAACAACAGATTAAATAAACAGAAACATAGTTTTGTTTACATTGATTTTTTTAAATGTGCACTTTTTTAGTAGGTGCTCAAGAGCATGTCTGGTGGCACTTAGTAAAAATGTTGAATCCATGAAAGATTT